CTTTTACGCCTGTGAATCATTATTCTGTCCCCCCTCTCGATTTTTGCCACTTTGAAGTTCCTCTTCCTTTCTGTAAAGCCCGAGGTCAACTAAAGGGCTAATGATATCTATCGTAACGCCTGCCATTGGATATAAATAAATATTAATAATAGAGCCTGAAATATCTAATATTTACAGTAAGGCAACCTCCACACTTTAAAAGGAAAACCTTATAATTACAGTCGTATGAGAACTCCATTTATTATTTGGATACATTTGGAAGGAAAATAATAATGAGCAAAAAATTATTGTTAGGTAAACAAATCAACCAATGTTTCAGCCTCCTTATCAATTTAGAAACACCATTCTTTGCAAATTAAGAAGGGCACCGAAGTAATTTGGAACCAAAAGGTAGATGCAATTGCTTTCTTCAGTGACTTCTTAAAAAATACATCCACTTTATGCATTCACATGGTCACATTTTCATTGTAAGAAGGAAAAGCGTCAAGTTTATCGAATAATTGAATCACTCACATCCGAAAATCCCATTACAGACCGTCAGGTCTAAACACACAAAAACTTAGCATATCTTAACAAATTGGCACTTTCATCCAATTATCAGAATGGCACAATGTATAATATTACTAGCAAAGGGCATTACTAGTTGAAAAATTGGGCATTGTTTAAACAAGAAATAGCGGAGAATAAGAGGGCAGTATAAAATGCAACTGATGGAAACGATCGTACAAAAAGCGGCCACTTAAGATAGTCCTCAAGCAAAAACACTTTTTATGATGCTTTTAAGACTGTTTGATTCCATCCAATGGCTTACCTTAATGGCAGCAATTTGAGCAGCATGTACAGACATTTCGAAAAACTGCGAATAAGGAGGAGACATGGGATTAATTTTTGCAAAAGCTGCGTCCAGAACGATGTTGTTAGAATTGGAAGCCTCGGGTGGTACTTTTAGACGATTCGCAAGGATACACAGCGTCATTTCTTGCGTAGGTTTTACCAATAGACCATCTAAACAAAATTCCTTAAATGAAGACCTGAAACACACAAAGTCTTACCCTGTGAAGAAGCTAAGTCCTTCGGTGATATCAGCTTCAGATTCCAGCTTTCATCCAGGCAGGCTAGTTGGAACACACTGAAGGAATGCTATTGAAAAAAAAACATGCACAAAATTGTATGTTCATGTAAGCAATTTGCAACCATGAAATCCTAGCGTACCTGCAGTGAAACGTTTTTACACCGCATAGTTATAATTAACGATCCTATATCTGAGCCCTGGGTTCGAGCACAAGTTGCAGTGAATTGCAGTGAGGGTAAGAGATGGACAGAAGCTTCGTGTTGCAGGAACCGAAGACTGAGATTAAATAAATTAATCTTAACTACTAACGAGTTAATAAGTAGAAAGTGGTACTGCTATTACTCACCTAGTTGGTTCACTTAGTGCGCTGTACCCAAATACCATATGAAGTTGTCTTGTAGGAGCAGGCAAAGTATGTGTAATCAAGGGATCATTTCCACTTTCGAATCGGCCAATCTTCCGGGTAAGAGCAGTTGGTCCTCTCATCCAAAACCGTTCCAGTCTCGATTCTCTCGCTTCCAGCGGTCCATTTGACTTTAGGGAGGTCACAATTGAAGGGATGGTGTTCGAGAGGATAAAAAAACTTGGCCAAGACGTAGCCACCTGAAGATTACTCAACGATGAACTCCCAGCATTGGTGAACGTCAGCGTGTTTGAGTAGACCTCACCTTCGAAAAGGCTCTGTGGAAATCCGCCAAAATATACCTTCAAAAGACCTCTTGGTTGAACGACAGACCAATGGAATCTATTATCTGTTGACTCGGACTTTAGAAAATGAACCTTTCCCTGGACGCTTGAAGAAGATTCAACTCCAGAACCAGGGAGATTTTCACCATTGATGTTGAGCGAAGTTAAGGGGTCTCTAATGCTGTCTGATGCCGTCACCGAAACATCTAATTGAGGAGTCAATGTGAGGAGTTCTAGGGAGGCCGTTATGTTTGGAAGGTTTGGAGCAATAGGCGATGGGAGATCCGACAGAGTTGTTTGACGTGGTGATGTGATATCAAGTTTGAATGCAACTCCAGTGAGTTGAAGGTCATTCACATATCTACGTGGTTGAAGGGACAATTCGACCTTTAAGCAAAGATAGGAAGTGAGCGCTAATTGAATCACAAAGAGCTTGAAACAGAAAAAATAAGGCACTTACAACTTTCTTATCTCCAGGTAGCATATAAAATTCATTGATCACAGAAGTTTGTACAAAGGTCTTAGCTTCTCGTAGCTTCTCTCCGCTCACATTTTCATTTGTGATTTCGATTTCGCCTTCTGATGAACCATCGTGCTTGAACTTTGCTTTCCAGAGTAGATGAAGGTCTGTTAAGACCAGAGGCACCTTCCAGGTATTGTGCAGGGGAATCTGAGCCGTCACTTGTTCTAAAGTAATACCAAACTGACAATGACATGAGCACGCATATACTTGATAAAAATTAAGGTGAAACAAACCTCCAATTGGGACGCAATGCCATTGGTGTTGCTTTCGGTATTTCTGTCGAGTTGATGCGGTCCCTGTCCATGTTAACAAGCAATAATCAGTCATTCCTCCAGGCAACTCGTGGCCAGATTGAAGGGAGATTAGGCTCCTGAGTCGACGGAAAATGGCCTGACGCGGAAGGGGGTAGGATGGACGGGAGTAGAGATACCGAACAAAGTCCTCACCTGGGCGTTTCACTCGATCCGAACTGGCACTCCTCCAGGCTAATCACAAAGCAAGCAAAACGTTACATGCCAACTTGAAAACGCGATAAAGCTCAGGTTTACCCCCGCCCTCCCCTATTCACTGCCAAACTATGAAGAATTTGAAATAGTAAGAAAAAAGCCATAGTTTGAATAGATTTAGCCCATTTAATGCCAAATAAAATCCAAACTGTGAGCAGAATATAAGCAAACGTAGTCGACTCATTGAAATTGATGCGAACTTGACAGGAGGAGATGGTACTCAAGAGAGAGACTGGTACGTATATACCCAATCACTTTTTTTCAACCCCAAATTCTGCAAAAAACTTGATGCACTAGAAATAAAAAGGTAACACACTAGATTCATCCATAATTGATAATTGACTTCATTTTCATTGTTATAATTCCAGATCTTGAAGCAAATGTTCATGGGTGATAATGGACAGCTCTTACAAAGTTGTAATAAAGAAATAGGAAGGATGAAATTTCTCCTGACGCGTTTGGAAGATTTTTCAACATTTTCGTCAAACTGTAGAAAGATGGCAAGGGTTCTGCTTAAAATACACTTTCTCATGTCAACATAAATCAATGTGACCTTTTTGCCATAGTGTTGCCTGATTAGACTGAACGAGAAAAACCCCTCACCGTGAAACTAGGAAGTAGGTGGAGGGGTTGGAGGATAGGTAAATGGTACCATTATAGAGAAGTTGAGCGACACTGACGACTGCGTAACTGTCTTTGAAAATAAGGCTGTATTTCTTCAGATTCTCGATTCAATGGCACTCGATATCGACATCGAACATAGACTTCTTCCGAATATTGGGCAGCAAAGAACATAGAGAAGATGTTACAATTCTTTTTAATGCCCCAAATGGTGAGAATAGACTTAGATTTCTTCCACCAATAGTCAAGAAATCCTATCCAATAGGCAATTTAAAATTTCTATTATTTTGCATGCCTCATTGCAGATGTTTATCTACGCTATGGAAAGTTAAGAAAGCCATTACCATTGACGAGTCAATAGGCAAGGTGATATGCAAAGTAAAAATGTACTTTCTAGTGTTGGGGAGTCTTTAGCCACCATCCAAGCAGGAATGTCAGTTGGTGAGACCATGGTAGGAAGAAGTTGGGAGACAAAATTACTCGGAAGAATTGTCCGTTGGGTCGTGTAGATACGAAAATCTTCCGCATCATCATGCTCATCATCAGAAAATGCCGTTCCTCGCGCTTCAATAGGGCTATCTTCTACAATATGGAGAAAACACAAGGGTGTGAAAATGGCAGATTGTCTGGCCGCTTAAATGGATTTCATTAAACAGGAGGGGGGAGGGGGAGGGGGGGGACTCACCATCAATTTTCCGAACTGGGGCTCCCAGCATAACTTTGATGCGCTGCTTGTCGAAAACTGGCAGGCTTAATTCCGGCCACTCGGAACTCGAATCGCCAGAAGATTTAACCTAGTAATTTCCACAGAAATATTATAGAAATGGAAAACCAAAACAGAACTGCATTTATTGCTATATAACAATTTCAAATGCAACTGGCCTTTTAGAGGATAGCGATATCCCAAGCTCTTAAAATGAAACTATCTGAATAGAAATTCTCACTCTACACCTTCACGAAACAATTCAGATTATCGAACTCCAAAATAACCGCACAAAAGGTGGCAAAGCATATTTTTGACATTGGATGGAGTGGTATTCAAGCTCCCAATGTTAATACAAATGTTAAAATACCATCGAGACTTGGTTATGTATGACCTCCCCTCCACCCACCCCACTCAGTCGCTGTGCCTGCTAATCTAATCAATAGTGATTGACATAGCATAATAGGACGTGATCAAGTCAAGACATTTGCTTCCTACTTTACAGGTAGGAGAAAATGGCAAAGTTATCATAACTCCGTGCACTCAAGTCGCCAAATAGGTCATGAGAGAACAAAATCAAAAAATTTCAGTACACCCTTATGTTCCTTTAACCCGAAATGAGTGTTCATCACTTCCCCATACCCCAGTTTTACACATAAATAGTAATACTTACTCAAAGTGATGAAGGGAAACTACATTTTGAGTTAAAAATCTCCCCCCCCCCGGGAGTTTAGATTTGAACAGCCATGGCTAAGGTATTTTAGTTGTGAAAGGATCACAAGTTTAAAGGAACTAGAGAGCCAAAGTCACTAGATAACAAAAGAAAAGCGCGTTTCAACTCCTAGCATTCTGATTCGGGAAGTGTGATTTTCTATCACCACAATCTAGCGAGCTTGCTTCTTTTTGCTGTAGGATGGTGAAAGTGAAACGCATTATTATTTCAATGCCGGTTTGATTTAACTTTCCAATGCTTCTAATTATTGGGTGGGCAACTAAGTCATTGCCGTTTTTGTTGACAGATTCACTCTATACTTTCTTTTGTTTTGTTAACGTGGCCAGAGCATCTAACCTATATTTTTTTCTTACTGTATGGGCTTCTAGGTTAATTAGTAAAAATTTTTTTGTTTAGTTCTTTAGTTTTGTTTTTATCCCAATTTAAAAATGAAAGAACAGGACGTGCACTTCCCACACATTTTATTGTATTACTTCCGAAAAGGCAAGAACGCATCGCAAGCACAAAAGAAGTTATGTGCCGTATATGGAGATGAAGCCTTAAAAGAAAGGCAGTGTCGAAATTGGTTTGAAAGATTTCGTTCCGGTGATTTCTCACTGAAAAATTCACAACGATCTGGCCGCCCAGTCGAAGTGGATGAAACCCATATCAAGGCCATTATCGATTCAAATCGTCACAGCACAACACGAGATATTGCAGAGAAGCTCAATGTGTCGCATACATGCATTGAAAAATATTAAAAACCCTTGGTTATGTCAAGAAACTTGATTTACGGATCCCTCACCAGTTAAAGGAAATTCATTTGACGCAACGGATTAGCATCTGTGATTCGCCGCTACTGAAACGTAATGAGAATGATCCATTTCTGAAGAACCCAGTTACTGGCTACGAAAAGTGGATAGTTTATAACAATGTTACTCGCAAGAGATCATGGGTGAAGCAAGATCAACCAGCCCAAACAGTATCAAAAGCAGAGATTCACCAAAAAAGATTATGCTGTCAGTCTGGTGGGATCACAAAGGAATTTTGTATTTTGAACTCATGCCGCAGAACCAAACGATAAATTCAAATGTGTATGTTGAACAACTCGAAAAAGTGAAGGATGCAATTGAAGATAAGCGGCCGGCATTATCAAATCGGAAGGGCGTGGTTTTCTATCATGCTAACGCAAGGACCCACACATCTTTGGTTACTCGGCAAAAATTATTGGAACTGGGTTGGGATGTTTTGTCACTCACACCCACCATATAGCCCTGACCTTGCGCCTTCGGATTACCATTTGTTTCGTTCCATGCAAAACTCTTTAAATGGTAAAATTTTTAACAACGCGGATGATGTCGGATCACACCTAATTCAGTTTTTTAATAGCAAAGACCAGACATTTTACGAACGTGGCATTTTTACTCTGCCAGAACTATGGAAAAAGGTCATCGACAAGAACGGCCAATATCTAATTGAATAAAGTTATATTTTTAAACAAAAATTCCGAATTTGCCTTCTTATTTGAAATCGGCAATGACTTAGTTGCCAACCTAATACTTATGCAAAGTTAAATGTAAATGCCACAAAAACTAATAGCGCAGCAAACCTGATTAAAGATTGTCAGAAATTCTTGCAAGAAACGGGCCTGAACCGGTTCGAGCTGGCTACTACCCGGTGAGAGCAGATGCCACAGGGACTCGAGAGCCTCCTTCGATTGATTGAGAAGAACCTGTTGGCGTGCAAGATTCTCATTGATATGATCAAGGGCCAGTGTCCAACCAGATTCCGATTTCTTGGAGGGGGAGAGGATTTCCAGAGCCAATGAAAACGATCGAGCGCTCAGATGGGGCTGAAATTTAGACAAGGCAACATCGAGTATGTTAGTGAATTGTGATAAAGTTCACGTCTTTCTCATCAGAGGTCACTGATATGCAAGACTTTCTTCCAGTGACTAGAATAATCCATAAAAATAAATATCAGACAATGAGAATTTATCAATAGAAGAGTATTAATAAAAAATACCCCCTCCCCAAACCTTTACATATGATAAGTCCTTTTTTTCTTAAAGCATACCGCAGTATTGCGGTGGTTAACGAACACAATAAATGCTTGAAAGCATTTTCCTTGATGGACCCAGAAAGTCTTCCTACTAACTCAGTTTCGAAATCACTACGAAACATTCACTTGTTTATATAAAATGGGAGGCTTTATGATAGTTATCACTAGCCCCTTAGTTGACTTCGGGCTTCCAGTATCTCTGAGTCTCTGTGGTTGTCTGTAGGGCTGGACATCGTATCAGGTGGGTCTTCTCCATTTCC